TGGCAAAGTTGATATTAAGCAGCCACCACTTAATTACTCCGCTACGGAAAATGTGCGGGGGGAAGAAAACGATTTAATAACGGCTTACACTCAGCGAGCCAATGAGTTATTTGGGGAAATCTGGCCGGAGTTTGTGCGAGGAAGAATCGAGAAAGAATGAAAAATTATCCAGGGTCGTTATGTTTTTATTTATTGGTTGGCTTATAAAGTAGTAAAAAAGACCCACGCCGATGGTTATTTAGTTGGCTCCCGGGGTTCGATTGGCTCTTCTTTCATTGCTTATTTGTGTGGGATTACTGACTTAAATCCTTTGCCTTTTTATAAGTTTTGTCCGGCTTGTCGTTACACTGAACTTTATCAAGCCCCGGACCGAATTTTCTCTTGTTATGACTACCAAAAACAAGAAAATTGTCCTCATTGTACTAATTTATTAACTATGGAAGGACATAATTTACCTTTCGAGACCTTTTTTGGTTGGGAAGGGGAAAAGTCACCCGATATTGACCTTAATTTTTCGGGAGATTATCAAAAGTCCGCTCATAATTACGTGCGGCAACTGCTCGGGGAAGACACGGTTTATCGCATTGGGACAATTAATACTTTGTCTCAGCAAACCGCGGAAATTTTTTTCCAGGAGCATCTCCAATTACGGAAAAAATTTAATCCTAACTTTTCGGAAGAAAAATGATATGAAGAGTGGATTAATAACTCCCGAGTTCAAGAATTAGAAAAACAATTAGCCCAATTACGTCAGGAAAAATCCTGATTAGAAAAAGAAAAAAAGGAGACAGAACTTTCAGAAAAGGAGATTTAAACTGAATCCAGACTATTTTGAATTAGAAAAGAGTTACGCTTGGAAAAGAGCCTATAAACTAAATCGTTATTAAAAAAATGCTGCGGCCGGAGTCGGACCATAGTTTTCAGCCATGTTCTCCACTCTTATCCTATCATAGACTACGTTATTTGAGATTCTTTAAATCATATCCTAATTCACAAAAATGTTTCTACAATTTCTAAAAAAAACTTAATTGAAGGTAATGAAATAACTTTTGCCTCTTTCCATTTCATGAAAAGAACTCTTAATTGGGGATTAAAATTGTG